CCACATGGCAGGGCCTGGCAACCATGACGTATTCGATATGCCAGACACAGTAACAACAAAGTCTCCAATGGAGACGTTACTGGGCCCGCTCGAGCAAATCGATGATCAACGGGAGGGCCTTATTATTATTATTATTATTATCTAATTTCATTTACTTTAATATTTCTTAAATGTGCAATATACTCAATTCCTGGAAAAATGACAGAAAGAAGTTCATAACAAGGGTGTCTCGAGGTATGCTATAAAATCAGCGAAAATGTCCTACATATGTAAGACATAAGTAATATGTATCAATAAATGTACTGAGAAATTAAGAGTAGGAAATATATAGATTCTAAAAAAAGTGTTATATATGTCTGTATTCAATCTGGTACAATAAGCTAAATGTACATTAATTTCCCATTGATGAAATGCAATATGTATTAAGTAGTGAGTACTAATAAGTATTCTATTACATAGTTTTCAACAGTTTCCAAAAGCTACTTTTATATGCAGTGCTGTGTTTTAAATACTTCATATAAAAATTATGAAGTGCTAGTACACTAGAGTAACATGGAAAATAACTTTCTTGTTAAGTTTGTAATTAGTCACATATTTGAAAACTGCAGATTTCTAAAACTGAACTTGTAATAAAAATACTGAATCATAATTTTCTATATGAAAATAATTTATAATAATATTCAAAGTTCAAAAAGTCCTATATATATATTTGGCAAAAAATATTTCAGACAGCACATATTTTAGCACAATTCTGATAACTATTTTCTCAGTCATCACCAAAAGCTGACTAGTATAACAGTTTTTTTACACATTTTTAAAATTCATATAACTGATGCTGTCTTTTTAGTCAGGTGACTGTTTATTAAAAAACAAACAAACAGAAAGCCTTTTCCTTAAGTTCAGAAAGTAGAATGTTTCTGAACTCTTTGGGATGTTGGTTGTTTTGGTTTTATTTATTTATTTTTGGCTTTCTGAAGCTACGAGGGCAGGAAGACCTTTCAGGAATTAGAACTTTACCCACAGGAGTCAGCAGAAGGGTGCCACCTGGTGGAATCACGGACAAATTCTAAACAAGATCTGACTAAAAAATATACTCATTTAACAAACTTTGAGAGTTTCTTCATCGCCAGGGGTATGCTTATGTTCTTATCTAGAACCACGTTCTATCTGGTTCTTTTCATATCAATTAAACCAATAGAAGAAGTTTTAAAGTGAATTTTAAAATTTCAAGATCTATTACGTCGGTAGTTGAAGACACAAGCAGATGTTTCATGTAATTGACGTTCGATATGTTCATGCACACAGGTTGTTTGTAATTATGTTACCGTCTACAAACAGGAATGGATGGAACAGTAATTGTTTACATATTAGGTGATAATCCTTCAGATTTAAATCAGCTCAATTTATCTAAAATATCATAGACTTAGCGTAGTCTCATTGCCATGATTTATGAACAAAAACTTTCCCAAATTGGTATAATTTCCATAATGCTCTGTATTTTCATTTCTAAACTGGTCATAAGGACCAGGGAAACAACCCCAAAACGAAAATCATGAGCTTTGCATGTAAGTGACACCAAATTCCATCCAAGAAACCATTGTCCCCTCCATCACAGCATCACCAGGTGTGACTTTGGTGGCCTATAATACTCCTAGCAGGCATCATCATACCTCAAGGCCAAGCAAAGACTCATAAGTTCATACTTCAATGTTAAGTTCAGCAAGGACCAGTCCCAGGGAACCCCCAAATCACTGAAGATCCTCTTTGATAAAAAATAAATAAAATGTAAATAACAAAAAGATCTCTCTCAAAAATTGTTTGAAGGACCAAATAGAGAAATTCAATGAATGTTAATTTACAAGCCCAAAGAACTGTATTCCGTACATGGCAAGTGTTCAAGGCAGGACTTAAAAATCACTATCTCAATGCGAAAATCCCATCAGTATCTCAATGTAAAATGAAAGACAAGTCGCTTTAAGTGAGAAAGACTAGTTCTACCCATATCAGAGGATGACTTTCAGACATTTTGCAAATATAGCTGCCATGAACATTTGTTTAATCAATGAAGCTTTAAAGGAAAGCCCACTAAGATGAAAAAAAATTAGTTCCGATGATTGGGAATATTAACGAAACTGTCCAGCTCCTTTCATTTATGTCATTGCTCCCTAGGGCAGGGGCAACTCTGGTCAGGATTGTTTGTGCAAAAAGACAGTAACAGATGAGATGAAGCAGAGAGGGCAAATTCACTAAAGGACTATAACAGTAGCCAAATTATATGGCTCACAACTGTTCATGCCCAGAGGGAAAACTATGGTCTTCCACTGTGCAGTAAACAGAAAGAGATGTTTGATGCTTTCAAGATATTTTTTGAGACTTCATAAAAATGTCTGCCATGGAAAGCGTAAGATATTTGTAACATTTAAAGCCTAAATCTCTCAAAAAACAATGTATATCAAGTGATTAGCTGGACCTTGTCCTTGATTTAACCATTAAGTAAGGCTTAATACAAATATATTTCTGTTGAATTTTGTGAATAAGTTTTCAGAGAAATATTCAAGACTCTAAAACAAACAACCTTGTGTATACGAAGGCATTATATCTTAGTACCACATTAGAACTGTGTGCCAATTCCAGATTGAAACTATAATGACCAGTACTGTTAATAAAAACTTGGTAATACCATAACAAATAGTTTAACAATCCATACCAGTTGGGCACACTGTCTGAGCGTCATTTTATAGGCCAAGTTTTGTAATAAAGAATCTAGAGTTACTTTTGGGTAGTGCTTGGAAAGCCCTTAAGAGGATATTACTATATATATTCCACTTGATTCTCCTCCTTTGCTAAACCAAACTCTCTCCTTTGAACTCACACATAATATGCATACCACTGATATTTTAAAGTCACAGAAACACCCAGACAAGTGCTCTTATTTAACCCTCAATTGAAACACAACTTTTGTAAATGGCCACTCCCTGCATACTTGAAGTGACCATATACATGAACATAGGGATGGGAGAGAAACAGATTCAAACTGGAATCCCGCTCTTCATGTGAATTTAAAGAACCAGGTAAGTTCTAACAAGAGTGTTGGCTGTGCACATACAGCAAGTCCATTACTTTCACAGACGTTCCCAGCTCCTGTAAGCACCGCTCTGCTGCTCCCTCCCTACTCCACCATCTCAGAACCATTTGCAGCACCTCCAGTAACCAGCTGGTGTCACAGCTTAGTGAGCAAAGATTTCATGTGGGGACTCTCACCTAACTAATCATTCTTATTGGTAGCATCTTTCCAAGAGCAGTTGAGAAGCTCAACGGCTTGTTAATGAAATTTAAGAGCTGTCAGCCTGAAAGGGGATGTTAAATCCACGTTTCCCTTCTGATTTTTTTTTTCCCATAATCTGTTAACCAGTTGCTATCTATGAGTGTCTTCTGCAGCAGAGGGAGAGGAAGAGGCACGAGGAAGAGGCACATTTATAACGTAATATGCGTTTTTTTTAACAGTTTCATACACGGGGGCGGTTGAAGAAAACACCTGGCTTGTTTTTTTTAAAAAAAAAAAGGCAAAAACTGAAAGGACGCTTAAATTATTGAATAGTCCTTACCACCTGTGTGAAACAGGAAAGGAGAAGGGAGGGAGGGGGAGAGAGAGAGAGAGAGAGAGAGAGAGAGAGAGAGAGAGAGAGAGAGAGAGAGAGCACAAGCCCAGGGAGATCATCACTCAGGAATACCACTAACAGGGCCAGATCGTGTCTCTCCCACTTCTGGAAGCTCTGGGCAGCTTTCTCTTACTTGCTCCAGGGTGATCCGTCAATGGGAAGATTGGAGCAGCCCCTGGCAACTAACAGCTTCCACCCTCAATCCCCCCACTTTACAGATCAACTGGCAGTGTCTGCCAGCACTGAATCCGGAGGCCCGTGGGCTGCACACAGAACTAAGGGTCCATCTCTGTTCAGCCCGCGCCGCGGTCCTCCAGCTCCGGAGTCACCCTCTGACCTCAGTCTAGCCCCTCTGGGCTCAGTCTCTAAAGCCTCTGGATGTGGCAGCCCCTGGGTACCTGGTACCCACCTCCCTGCTCCATGCCAGGGCATCCCGCGCTCCTTCCCAGACAACTTTGGGGGGAAAGCGACACCAAACTCTCAAGTCACCCCAAACCCAGGCACAGGGGTGAGCTGGGCATCCCTCCTCCTGGCATGCTACAGATCCCTTAAGATCCAAGAAGATCTTAAGATTCAAGATTCAAGAAGGGGGTGGTGGGTGCGTCCGGAGAGAACGGAAGGGGGCAGAAATCAGCATCAGTCAGCACCGGGCACCTCGCCGTGCACACACACTAGACATCGGTTCCAGGGACCACCACGGCCAGCATCTCCCCCAGTTGCACGGAAGAGCCACAATCTTCAGCTCCCCCAGCTTCGCTCTCCAACGTCCACCAATCCTCCCCAAGCTTAGTGATCCTCCCCACTCACCCCCCATCCCCATCTGCCCGGGAGGCCCCCGTCCCGCTCCCTCTTCTCCAGAAGAATCACGAGAACAGGAAACTCTGCTGCCCTAAAGGTCATTCGCCGGCGCCAGCGGGGAGGAGGAGGACGTGGGAGACTTTGGCCACGGAGAGGAAGGTTGGCACCTGCCCCTTGCAGGAGCGCACCAAATCATGCGATCATGCACGGATCAGGAACCTTCCAGCCTTTCCATCCCTAGCCCCCCCGCCCCCCGGCCGGCCACCTCTGCCACCTCCGTGCTGCCCTCCGGCCAGGGGCGCGCCCCGGGCCGTCGCGCCCGCCCAGCTCCATCCTTTACCTCTCTGCCCCCTTCCCCGCGGCTCTCCACCTGGCGCATCCTCTGGCCGGGCCCCGGAGCAAACTCAGAGGCGCCAAGTTCCCGCAGAGTCCACGGAGGAGCCGGGGAGAGGCTGGCGGCGGGGCGCGGGGGGTGGGCAGCGGCAGAGGCGCGGGACCCGGGCGGGGCGCGCGCGCGGGGCCGCCGCAGCTGCCAACTCTCACCTGGTCCGGGGGCGGCGCGGGGCCGGCTCGGGCCCCCGGGGTGGGCTGCTGCTCCTGCTGCTTCATGGCTGTCATCGCCGGCCGCCCGCCTGGCCGCTCACTGCCCCGCGGGCACTTCAGACGCGGGGACCGTCCCTCGGCCGCGTCCGCATGGCACAGGCGCCCGCCGCGCGCTCCGGATCCGAGGCGGGGAGAGCGGCCGGGGCTGGGGGGCGGGGAGCGCTGGGGATGGGGGGCGGGGAGAGTGGGGAGGGGGGGGGACGCCGGGCTCTGCCCCCCCCCCCCGGTCCCCCGGCACTCGCAGGAGCCCTCCGGGGGCGATCGCAGACCCTCGCGCTCCCCCGCGCTCCCCGCCCCCCGCGCGTCCGAGGACCCCCGAGCCCGGGCGCACGACCCCGGGGCAAGTTAGCGGCGCGGCGAGGGGCGCTCGGGACGCCCCTGACCGCGCTCGGGCGACGTCTGGCTGCTCCCGAGCCGCCCGGCTCGCTGGGGGCTGCAGTCGGCGCCCCCCGCCCGCCCGCCCGCCCCCGGGGCTCCCCGCGCCGTGCTCAGCGCGCCAGGTGCAGCATCCCCGGAGCCACCGCAACGCGCGCCGGCCCCCCGCACGCGCCGCCCAGGAGGAGGAGGAGGAGGAGGAGGAGGAGGAGGAGAAGGAAGCCGAGCCGCCGGGCCCCCCGCGCCTCCCGCCCCCCGCGGGCTCCTGCAAAAACCCGGAGCAGCCGAGCGAGCCCAAGCGCAGCCCCCCGAGGCCCGGGCGCTGCCGCCCCTGGGCCTGCTCCAGCGCTCCCGGGAAGTCAGGGCTGGAGCATCCTGGGGGACTCAGGGTGCCCCCTCCCCCGCCGGGGAGCCCGTAACGCCCAGCAGGACGGGAGGGGTCGAGCCAATGCCCAAAGCCGATTTGGAGTACCTGGACATTCATTCATTCATCCATTCATTCATTCACTCTCCTCCAGCCTGGACCCCCCCTGCTAGCCAACTGGTTAATGCCAAACGGGGGCGTTGTACAGTGTTGCTTAATAATAATGATTAAGGATGATGAGGATGATGATTGGTCCTCGTATCCTTTTTGATTTTTTCCGGTCACCTAATGAAGCCTTCGAATTTTCAGTCACTTTGCAGGGTTCCTCTTGCTCCACACAGTCCTCTCTTCATTCAAAGCGTGCTTATTGAGCATCTATTAAGTGCTCAATAAGCGCATGGGGCAATGCCATGCTTTGGGGGATGCGGGAAGAGGGGAACTAATGAAAGCCAGAAGACCAAATGATGCTTTGCCTGCAGGGAGCTGATGTTATAGTGTGGGTATTGGGTGGTTAGAACAGGCAAACAAAAGTATTGAGTCAATGGAGCACTCTCAGGAAATGTAGTAGGTGTGGTTATTAGAAAGACAACCAGTTGTGTCTAGATTTTTCTCCGTGGTGGACAAAAAGTATCTAAAGCAGATCATCAAGTAGCCCCACAAACACCGTGGTGTGTGAAGATTGCTCACAAGAGACATTTTGGGAGGGTAATAGGTAACCAGTGGTTACTAGATTAGCGAAGGGAGTAAGACAAGATGCACATCAAGAGGGACAGGTCATAAAAATGGGGATGGGAGTGGCCTTGCGACATTTAGTGGTTTCCTTGTGGGTGTTTTTTTGGGGGGGAGGGGGCGGCGGATATGCACTGACTCCCTCCTAGTCTTAGAGTTAGTTCTTCCAAGAGCTATCCATTCTGGGCGAGGAACCATTGCAGGATAGAAGTGCTCCTGCCTCATTAATTACAAAGATATGAATTACCACACGTGTCCTAGATCTTATAGCAACACTATTGTTTTTACACAATTTTAAAACTCGGAGATGACTAGATTCGACTAGACAATAAAAATATAACAAATTCTTTCAGAAATACCAGATTGCAGTTGGGAAAATGCTTGCTTTTCAAAATAGCTAGTCAAAAGCATACCGTGAACAATCTCTATCTATACGATAGACCATTGGTCTATTCCAATGGAAATAGTATTTTGAAAGTCTGCCGTTTGTAAAAGCGGAGCATTTATTGTTAAATATCAACTGAGTGGTTTTTCTAGTAAAGACGGTCCAAATTGTTCTACACGTGTAATTGAAAAGGGTGCGGAAGAGGGGTGGAGAGAGCAAATGTGAAATGTATCTGCATTACATTATTCAAAAGTGTTCCCGTGGTCATATTCTTTTATTGAGTTCTTTATTTTCAAAAGTTAATTTTTAAAACATCTTTTCATTTTGGACAATTGACTAGAAGGGATTTACTTTGTGGGCGGGCTGTTAATTTTAGAAAACCCTAGATGGTAAGAAATTAATTCTCATCCTACTTAAGAGTAGGTAGGTAACTGCATTTAGCTTTGAATTTATATTTTCAGCATTCAGTATAAAATATGTTTAGGCTACAAATAAAAATATTAGCTTTTGTCTCAGGTCTTATGGGTGTCATTGTTAAGGAAGTAACTCTTCCATCTGAAACTTCATTTTTCAGAATGAGTTGCTATTTCCTCTAGAGTAAGAACATTATTTAATATCTGTAGAGAGCAGAGTTAATGGCACTAATGGAAACTTAGTCACATATAAACTAATTTTCCAAGGCAAATACTCTTTTGAAGAGTGCTACATTTCAATTACAATGTAGAAATTTTTACTTTATCTCTTATTGAATTAAAAATAAAATAAAAGAGCCTAGAAAATCAAAGACATACTCATATAGGGAAAAATCTGCAGCACAGTTTATATATAAATATATATGTATATATATTCCTGATCATAGTTGGCATTAGAATAAAAGACCAACTCACCAACAACTTAAAATTAACAACTACTTTTAAATTACTCAAGAAGATATAACACTAGTATAATATGGAAAACTCTATCAGACTAGACATCAGCATATTGACTGACTTGCCCTAATTCCATCAGGGCACAGGTACGTAGGTGCAAATGAAAACATATATATCGCTTACTTTCCTGGTAAATTTAAGATATGTACATTATGTGATCATGAGGGTATCTTCTTTTTCCCCTAAATGTCAATGTTATACATTGATTTTGTTAATAAATACATGATCCCCCAAATCACAAAGTATTATTTTTTACATTTTATTGGGAAAGGAAATTAAGTACTTAGGGAGAAAAGTACTGCAAAAAGAATCCTTAATATCCAACAAATTTCTCATCTTCTCTAGTTACACAAGGGTAGACTAAAATCGTTGTCTTGAAAACACATTTTAAATTTATCTAATTAAAATTCAAAACTTTATTACATTTTATTCATAAAAATATATTTCATATAGTCAAGTTTTTAAGTATATTATTTATTTTGTGTGGATATTTATAAAGTATCTTTGCTTTGTTTATGGACAGTCATATATTCTATAACCTTTATACAATGGTTAAATAGATTTTCCTAGAGTTTACATGGAATGAAATCACTTTCGTTACTTGGAGAGAATTCCTACCCCAACTGTAGGAATTGTAATCTCTGTGATTACAAATGTCTGAACCTTGCAACGCATGGCCATATTTTGGGATTCAAATCCCACTCATTTCTGAAAAATTTTATCATCAAATTTTAAATTCAGGCTGGAGAGGGTGATAGGGTGCTTGCCTTTTACTCTGGTGACCTGGCGCTTCCCATATGTTAACCTGAGTATGGCCAGGAGTGACCCCTGACTACAGAACCAGGAGTAAGACCTCAGTACCACTAGGCTTGGTTAAAAAACAAAAACAAACAAACAAAAGAATTTTAACTCAGGTGGCAGTTCAGATAAATCCATTGTGCTCTTTCCTTGATTGATTTGCTTTTCTTTATCTTCTTTCCTGTGACATTCTTTTGAATATCACAATATCTTTCTTCACATTTTATTCTTATCAGTAAGATGCAAATACAGTACATTCCTTTTTGCCTATAATTATTAATATAAATAAAGTAGACTGAAATTTAGAAAACAGTTAAATTCATATGATTATCTTTAACATGTTTGCACATCAGTGTTGAACACAGGTTGCTCCAGAAAAAATTAGATTATGCATGCCATGTACTTTCTTTCAATTCCAGTGATAGATCTAAGAGTAAAGAACTCAGCGTTTCTCTAATAAGATCTAGTAACAAATAAAGCCTGGTGAAATTGCCTAGAGAAAGACTACAGTCCCCTTAGTAAGAAGCATACTGGCCAAACTTCACAGCCAAATTCTTGAGCTTCAGAAAAATTCGATAAGGTAAATAAGACTATAAGAAATTATAGTTATCTAGAATCACTTCCTACATTTTCCTTTTCTTCTCTCTCTTTCCTGAGATAAATATGTCGTGTCAAATAAAGGCCACCTTGATGGGGATTTCCCTGGCATTATCCAGTCCTCTATTGAGTGTCTGTAATGAGCACAGCATCAGGAAGACAGAGTTCATGAGCTGTGTCTTCAGAGACATGGCCTGAAATGTGCCCAATTAGCTTTTTGCAGATCAAGAAATAGCTCTAGTTCACATCTCCGGCTATCATTTAGTTTCGATTTATAAATCACCTCTACTTCACCTCAATCGGCTTGCTGAATTCCCCGAAGTGCAAAACAAGTCTTTAGGCAGAAAACCAGTATGCTGAGCAATCCTCAGACACAAGTTGTATTTTAGAAGCCCTAATAAGTAAAACAGCACATTTTTTGAAAAAAGAATAACCTAAATGCATTCCATATTTAAGCAAAAGCCACCCCCCTCATTCATACTGTTCAGAGTTTCCATTTCTTTTCATTTATTTAACTAAACTTTTTTTTCAGTCTCTATTACAGGAAGGCTTTCCTGTTGTAAAAATTCATAGCCCAATTATGATCTCTGGTGGAAGCAGACAGAGTTGCAATATCCTGAGAGCCATTCTTGTTGCTCACAAGAGACCAAAAGATATCGAAACAGTGCGCATTCATGTTGAGTTCCAGAGTGATGAAGATTTCTGGTTTTCATATTTATATACGGCACATCTTCCTTTCATCTGACATCCTACTGTGACACATAGAATGGGATTAGAGAAGAAAAAGGTATATATTTCCCATGCAATATTTTTCTATGTATAATGAATTATATCACCAAACAACTTGATAATATGTGAAATATCACTATTATCTATTATTTTAACTAGTAGGTGTTTATCATCGTTTCTATATTTATTTTTTAGAGATA